AGGCATGCGCCACCACGCCCGGCTAATTTTTTGTATGTATATTTTTAGTTGATCAATTAATTTCTTTCTATTTTTGGTAGAGACGGGGTCTCGCTCAGGCTGGTTTCGAACTCCTGACCTCGAGCAATCCGCCCGCCTCGGCCTCCCAGAGTGCTAGGGTTACAGGCGTGAGCCACCGCGCCCGGCCTTGTTGTTTGTTTTTTTATTTTTGTTTTTTTGAGACAGAGTCTCCTCGCTCGGTCGCCCAGGCTAGAGTGAGCGCCGCAGTGCCAGGATCTAGCTCGCGGCAGCCTCCAACCCCTGGGCTCAGGCGATCGATCCTCCTGCCTCAGCCTCCGACTCCTGAGCTCAGGCAATGATCGATCTCCTGCCTCAGCCTCCAACTCCTGAGCTCAGGCAATGATCGATCTCCTGCCTCAGCCTCCGACTCCTGAGCTCAGGCAATGATCGATCTCCTGCCTCAGCCTCCAACTCCTGGGCTCAGGCAATGATCGATCTCCTGCCTCAGCCTCCGACTCCTGAGCTCAGGCAATGATCGATCTCCTGCCTCAGCCTCCAACTCCTGAGCTCAGGCAATGATGGATCTCCTGCCTCAGCCTCCGACTCCTGAGCTCAGGCAATGATCGATCTCCTGCCTCAGCCTTCAACTCCTGGGCTCAGGCAATGATCGATCTCCTGCCTCAGCCTCCAACTCCTGAGCTCAGGTGATCGATCTCCTGCCTCAGCCTCCAACTCCTGGCCTCGAGCGATCCTCCTGCCTCGGCCTCCCTCCCGAGTAGCTGGGACTACAGGCATGCGCCACCAGGCCCAGCTCGTTTTTTTTTTGTATTTTTACTTTTTTGGTTAATTTCATTCTGTTTTTAGTAGAGACGGGGACTCGCTCTTGCTCAGGCTGGTCTCAAACTCCCAACCTCAAGCGATCCTCCTGCCTCGGCCTCCCTCCCAAGTAGCTGGGACTACAGGCATGCGCCTCCACGCCCGGCTCTTTTTTCTATATATTTTTAGTTGTCCAGCTCATTTCTTTCTATTTTTTGTTTAGTGGAGACGGGGTCTCGCCCTTGCTCAGGCTGGCCTCCAACTCCTGACCTCGAGCGACCCTCCCGCCTCGGCCTCCTCCCGAGTAGCTGAGACTATATAGACATGCACCACCACGCCTGGCTAATTTTTTGTATATATTTTTAGTGGTGCAGCTAATTTCTATTTTTGGCAGAGACGGGGTCTCGCTCTTGCTCAGGCTGGCCTCGAACTCCTGACCTCGAGCGATCCTCCC